AAGTCAAAGTCATCACTCCAAAATAAAAGATTTACAAAACCTTCACACAAATAGAGCGTAATATAATCTATAATTGTTGCTGACGTGGCAACTACATATGAACGTACACATTTCTATTTAAGGCATGGATCTAATTCTTACTCATGGACAACACTGTTAATAAACAAAACGATGGTTCAAAGTGCTGTTTCACAATTAACGTGAAAGAATTTAAAGTTTTTTCTATCTACATGGAACAAAGAATAAACACAAATCCCAAAGGGACACGCATTTTGTACTATTAGCTGATTTTTTTCCTGTTGTAATTTATGTATAATTTGTTTCTGCTACATGTATACTAAAGGAACAGAATTCTAAAGTACTAGAGTTCTTGTGCAGGCATCAGCACTATGGAAATAAATGTGTATCTTTGTATGTGCGTGTCGCTCTTTTACAAGCTAGTATAGTATTCATTAATAACACTCAATTGTTCAGCGAGTTATTTTATTTATTTATAGCACGAATTCCTTATCACGATTAGTTAATTTGCAGCTCAGAGTTTGAATGGACAGTGGTTTATGCAGTTTTTTTTTTGCCAGAAATATTGAGAATTAATTCAAACAAGATAATCTTCCAAGACTATGCAGATCAAAACAACAAGAACAAAAAGAAATCCATCTTACTAAACATTTTCTCCTGGCTTTAACACATTTAAAAACATATTAAAGGACCTATTTGAAGTACCTCGAATGTTCAAATCGCCAGCTTTCGGGTAACTCACACAAGTTATTGGAAGCCTGAGTTTTTGGATAGGTTAACTAAACTTGAATTAAGTGCCAAATACTCCTCTGCCCATTGATGAGTCTTCTTGTAAAACACATGTAGTCCACTTTCAAACACCTCTGGATTACACTGCATGCCTACACAAAGCTGATTCTCCTCTCGGATTAGTGTAATTAGCATTGACTTCATTAAAACTAACAGAAGACTTACTCTGTATTTCAGGGCAGCAGTGAGTTTTAGGTCACATGTAGTATCTGCTAACCTACATGGCATACATTTCCTCTCCCTTCTAGCAGCACCGCCCTCGCACAATATACAGATTTGAATTTCCTTGCAATCTCCCAGGGCATTGACTATAATTATTTGCATCCATTGCCTCCATATTAACAGCAGCTTCTGTATTAGTATGCTGGCAAATTGCAGATTAATCAGTTGAGTTAATAATCAGTTAATCATTATTCAGCTGTGGCTTTACAAAATTTAAAAAAATTTCTTCATTGTTCCAAAAAAAATTTCATTTTGAATAAAAGTGTCCAAAATCTTAGTAAGGTCATTCACAGAGGTATTGCACATTGCAACAGAAGGCTGTCCTTTCACTAGTAACATTGAGCAGGGACATTATCATTGCTAATTAATGTCTAAAGTCTCCACAACCTACTATAGATTTGTATTTGCAGCTTACCTTTCATGTCTACTTGACAGTTTACTCATCTTTCTAAATTTCAAATAGTGCAATGTAATTTCCTACCATTGATAATGATTTGCAGCCACATGGGATCACAGCACCACAGAGGATGCCCCTTTAGTAACCTAGAAAAAAAAGGAGGGTAGTAGAACTGTTAAAAAAAAAAAAAAAGTCAAAAAACTGTCTAAAAACAAAACTTTAATATACATACTTTAAAAGTGAAATAGTACTTTGGAAGAAGGTATCTTGCACTGGAATTCAGTAACATTTTGTTTTCTTAGCACAAAAATTAATTAAATGAATTTATTTGTGGGATTTTTTTTTTTTCCTCTCCATTAATCCACCTTGAATTGGTCTTTTTCCTTTTACAAAGATGATAACAATTCAAACTTGTCCATTTTCCTCTGCTTTCATAACAACTGTGTATTTGGTTTCTCAGATGTCATTTTCCATACATTATCTGATTAAAAACAAAAGAGCACAATAAGCGAATAAGAAATTCTATCAAGTTCACACAGTAGCAGCTGAAGATAATCTTACTAAAATTGAACCTAAGAGCAGGTGATGGGGACTCAGATGGAGGCCATAACAAACCACTGCTATTTGTCACTAAAGCAAGCAAAACAACAAAATCTCTCCTCTCTCAGAAATGCAGCTGCAAAACACATTCTGAGCATTCTACCAACTTGTCAGATGAAGGGACAAAGCTGCGTAGTTCTAACTTCAGGGATGAAATACGTATTTCATGTAACTGCACTGCTGAACAGCAATTCCAACGAGCATACCAGAGTAAATAGTTTCCTGACATTTTGGAATAAAACTGATAGATGGTGTATTGCTCAAATACAGACAATATTTAAATATTTATTTATTTATTACACTGCAGTAGAGTATTTCAGATTAAAAGAAAATACTTCAGTACACCAGAAGTGAACCTCTGCCATCACATAAAGATCTCTGCTAGCTCCAAGTGTAGATTCACACCTCCACTGCTCTACAGTTTAATATTATGTAAAGTGTTATTTGTGGAAAGCACTGCACGGACAAACTTTTCTCTCAATATTGGCAAGAATAATTAGCACAATAATTATTCAACCTTTCTAGGCTCTGTAAAAGAGTATATATTATTCTAGGGCCCTGAAAGCTTCTACTGATGCAAAGGAACTCTGCAATACCATCGAGTATCAATTGAGGAATTACTTAGTATGTAGAAGTAAACAAATGAGATTGATTAACACAGCTGAAAAGATCTTTCTTTCAAAGAATACTGCATAAAGAAATACAATCAAAGAATCATAGAATGTCCTGGGTTGCAAACGACCTCATCTAGTTTCACCGTCCCTGCAGTGGGTAGAGTCACCAACCACCAGAGCAGGCTGCCCAGAACCACATCCAGCCTGGCCCTGAATCCAGGCATGCGGCATCCACAACCTCCTTGGGCAACCTATTCCAGTGTGTCACCACCTCTGTGTGAAAAAATTCCTCCTAATATCTAACCTAAATCTGCCTTGTATTAGTTTAAAACCATGCCAAACAGTTTTAAACAAACAAATAGTACTGTTAAATCATATGTAACCTGTAATGAGTATTTCTTTTGCTCCTCTGAAATTAAAAATCTACAAAAGTGGCTGCAAAGAAAAAAAGTTATGTTCTTCTTCAAAAGGGTGATAAACATGTGGGGCCTACTTCATCCTGTATGAGTATGGATATGGATGCAGTGACAGCATTAAATAAGGACATAGACAGATTCATGACAGACACTCGTAGTCAAAAGTACAAAAATATGTGCACTGAGTACATATAAAGTTGGGATGTCCCACTTGTAGTATCTCACTCCATATAACACCTAACTCTTCCACTGTTACATATTTCCATTTACCAAAGTCTCTGTTTACTGCTTTCTTATTCCTTAATCTGTACATTTTCACTTGCCGGTACCCAAACCACACACTGTTTACTTTAGAAATCATTCTTTATCCCTTATTCCTAAATCAGGAAACTATCCCGAAACTTATTAATTTTCCTGCCCCAACTTCATTTTTTTCTGACTGCGCCTGACTGTTCAGTAGCATGCAGGAACTCTTCAGGAGGACACAGGACTTTGGCAGAGAAATAACTAATATCTCTCAGCTGCTCAGATGTTTTTTTCTGGGGGTAGCACAATGAAGAACAGCCAGACAAGATGTTTCAGAGGTCTTACAAGTCTTGCGAGCTAATGTTTCTCAGTTTCTTTAAGAGAGGTTGCATAAGTGCTTTTAATAAGAAGGAGTCAAAATATTTAATTCACAGTTTAACTGTATTTGATTTTACATTATCACTTATGGTTTATTCTGTGCTAGCTTTCAAAGATCTATATAAAGAAGAAAATCATAAAATCATAGAATGGCTTAACTCAGAGGGGACCTTAACGATAACCTTGTTCCAATCCCCTGCTTGGACAGCATTGCCACCCACCAGATCAGGCTGCCCTGGGCCCCATCCACCCTGGACTTGAAAGCTTCCAGGCAAGTGGCATCCACAACTTCACTGGGCAGCTGTGCCAGCACCTTACCACACTGAGTAAATCATTTCTTCCTAACATCCACCCTAAATTTCTCCCTTTTAAAACCTTTCCTTTTTGTTCTATCACTATCAGATAGAGTTAAAAAAAAAAAAAAATTCACCCATTTGTAGGCTCCTCTTCCCAATGGAATGCCACAATTAGGTCACCCCAGTGCTAAAGTTCCCAGACTGAACAAGCCCAGCTCCCTCAAGCTTTCTTCATAGAAGAGGTTCATGCGGCCACACTTTTCAAGCCTGTCTCTCTGTATGGTTCCCTTCTTTCACAAACCCTAAAGGCTCACTGGAGAAGACAAACCTGAATTTAATACACTCGCCTTGTAGGCTCTTGCACGTGACATTCTGACTGAAAAAATATCCTAAAAGTCAGAAAGTTTTGTCTCATACAGATTCTACGGCGCTGAACTGGGTTTACGCGGTGACGTTTTGCGGCGGGGCAGCACAGAGCAGCTGCAGGGATCGCTCCCGTCCCCAAAGCCGGGCAGCCTCCCCACATTGCATCAGAGCCAGCCGCCTCCAAGGGCCCCACCGCTGCACACAGCCGCCCATCCACCAGCACGCAGCTCCAGGAACGGGACTCGAACCGCTCTCAGCAGTAAGGCAGTAGGAGGCGACGCACAGCGGATGGAGACGTTCGCGGCCACGAGCTACCGAGGCCATGCCTAAGGAAGTCGAACACCCCACCACAGGCGACTCTCAGTCTCCGGAGTAACCCTATAGGCATTAGAACAGCCTTTCCGAGGCGCTCCCTCCTCAACACAGTGAAACCTCTCGCGCAAAGCCATTTAAATTCGAGCCCTCATCGCCCCCCGCCTGCAGCAAGGTGTGCGGAGCTGGGCACTGACGTCACGCACACGCAGGACGGACCGAAGTTCGCGTTCCGTTCTCTACCTCCGGCCGCTCGATGCTGCACGCAGGCGCGCTCCCGCCCCCCCCGCCCTCCCCCGCGTGCACGCGCACGCCCCCTTCCTCTCCCTCCCACGGCGCTGTGGGCTGTGCGCGCCGCCGTGAGCTCCGGAGGGGCGGGGGCGGCAATAGCAGGCTCGAGGAAGGGGAGCGCGGAGCGGTCGCTTCCGCCGGCAGCGTGTCCCCGGGGACGGATCGAGGGAAGCCTCCCCCTCCCTTCGCTGTGGTGTTTTTTACGATTTTGGTGTTGTTTTTTGGGTTTTTTTTTTTCGCTCCGCTCTCCCTTTACTTGCGCGTGAGGTAAACGTGGTGCGCGCTGCCTGCGCTTCAGGTGGGGAAGGAGGGAGAAAGAAAGCGGGCAGGCTCTGCTTCCCCCCGCTCCTCAGCGTCTCTCCGGAGCCCTCCGCGCCCCGCTTCTCCCCGCGGCGAGGTACGCGGCCCCTGCCGAGATGGGCTGCACGCTGAGCGCCGAGGACAAGGCGGCGGTGGAGAGGAGCAAGATGATCGACAGGAACCTGCGGGAGGACGGCGAGAAGGCGGCCAGGGAGGTGAAGCTGCTCCTGCTCGGTAAGGGCGGCCCCTGGCTGGGCCGAGCTCCGGAGCTGTGAGAGCCGAACGGAGGGCGGGGGACGGCGGAGGTTCCCCAGCATCTCTCCCCAGGGAGCGGCGGCGGCGGGGCGCGGAAAGGGCGCGCGTGGTCCTCGGAAGCGTTGGTGGCAGAGGGGGGAGCGCAGGTGGGCGCGGCGGGGCTGCAGGCCGGGCCAGGGAGCGGTTCCGAGAGGCTGGGGCTTTGTTTAGAAAAGGCGCCGGCTCCGCGTGAAGGGTGTGCGATCTTGAACTTCTGATGTGGGTTCTGGGTACTTCGGTTCCGAGGAAGAGCTTAAGGGAATTTCAGGTTGGGAGATGTTTGTTTCGTGTGGAGCGTCCCCTTCTGAAGCGTCGGTGTAAGAGTGAAGTGGAAGAAGCGTCAAAGGAACACGAGGCGCCGTCTGACTTCTTGCATTGTTTTGTTTTGGAAGTTGGTTACGTTGCTGAACTTGTACAACGTAAGGTCAAACCTTGACGGGTTATAAAGTGTGTAATAGAGCGGATCACTGGAATAGGGCGATGAGGAGCTGCACAGAGAAGCTGTGGATACCCAACCTCAGGAGGTGCTCAGGGCGGGTTTGGATGGGGCCCGGGTATCGATCTGGTGAGCATCAGCCCTGTGCACGGCAGGGGGTTGGCACTGGATGGCCTTTGAGGTCCCTTCCAGCCCAAGCAATTTCATAGTTCTGTGCCATCAAGTCTTCCTGATTTTGCTCACAAGTTCCTGGAGCTAGCAGCTTTGCGTATTTAAAGTGATATGTTTGTGTATAAAGATAAATGAAGTAAAATTACTGCTAAAAATCACTATGAAAGGGGAAGCAATATTTAAGTAGAAATGCCTTTGTGCAGATCTAAAACTGTTGTATGTGTTGTGGGCAGCTGAATCCTGCAAGACGTGTTGTATTGATGTTATGGGGAGTTTTATGTTATGCTTTATAGCTTAACTGCACTGCATCCTTTTAACCCATATTTAAAAAAAATAAATATATACAAAAAAAATTTGGAGTTTCAATTTTCCTTGTGCTGCTACAGTTCCAAGCATGGTTTCTGGTTTTTGAAATACTACCCAATTTTCTCTCCTCCATAAATTTGTTTTCCTTGAGTGGAGCATTCTGTTTAGTACAAATCTTGCTGTAGTAGAACTCAGTAACTTCTGTCTGTTGCAAACTTGTAAAATAGCTCCCAACAAGTACAGGGAACTGAAGCGCTTCCCTCTGTGTTTATATGAAGAAACAAAACAAGCTAGTATGGTAAAGCAAACTTCTAAAAAATGTATGTACAGATTTAAAATTCTGCATATGAGGGGAAGAAAGCTTTTCTCTTCTCTTTGCTTTCCAGAAAGTGTTAGGCTGTTGGTTGGTACTGTGCTTAGTCCTGTGCAACTTTGTAAGCCTGGAGTCTGTTGCGTGGGAAGGTTAGCCTCTGATCAGCACTGCAGAAAATGTCCTTTTTCAAGAGATGCAGAGTACTGGTTTGTATATGCTCTGACAAGGCACTAGAAATAATTTTTCAGAGTTTTGCTGTTCTGTACTGAACTTTAAATAGACATAGCTAGTCGTTATGCTATTCTGTAAATGTGGATAACATCTTCTATAAAATTTGCATTAAACTTGAGAATGAGCTGTTTTCGGAGGCTTAATATTCTTGTCTACAAATTTATATGCTAGTAGCTTTTTATATGAATTCTTTCTGATACAGATAAGCTTTTGAGGAATTTGTTTTCTGCTGCAGTCTACTGAAATGTCAGGAAATGAAGTTAATGCTCAAATACATGCATTTCCTCACCTTACGACTCAGTGTAGTATTTCCCTTCAACTATTAAAAAGTGAAAATGAGCAGATGAAGAATTTCTAGGGCCAGAGCTCAGAGTAAGGCTTTATGTATACATCTATGGATACATTTATGTATTTCAGATCCTAATGGAAGCTTTTCTGTTCAATTTCCTGTGTTAGCTGTCCTAAATGTTATATGAATGCTTTATCTGATGGAAAAACTATTTTAAGTTACTTCCACTAGTCATTTTCTTCTTGCCACTCATTTTCCCAATTGCTTTTTCTGCCCATATGTTGTAGTTTGTCATCAACTCACTTGTATTCCTGCATCTATTTATGGGCTTGTTCTACTAAAAAGATGCTGAAATAAAAGGAAAAGAACAAGTTGTGGTCTGCTGACAGGAAGATATGCCATGTGAGAGGCATCTGAAGTACCTTGCTTATGTAGAAACAGTGTGTAGCTCTGTGCTGAGTACTCAGTAAGGCAGTTGTACTTCAGGATCTGTAAAAACTATTTCTGTATGGTGATTAGAGAATCCTAGCAAAACTTGAATTACTTAGTGTGTTAACTGGAGGATAGGTTTATAAAATTAGTCTGTTTCTGGCTTACAATGGAATTAAAATAAAAAGCTTTTCTGAAGGTTTTTCTAAGCCAGGAAGTATCATTGATTAGAGGGAGCTGTGATACTGCTGTGCATAAACCATGACTTTGTGAATAATACCACTGATCTGTGGTAGATTCGTGTTTTGTTCTGTATCTAGGAAGAAGCAGTCATATTCAAGCTGTTCTAAACGCTGTTGGTTTGAGTTGTCTAACTTTTTAAAAACATACTATCTGTAAATTGGTACTGCGTTTTGTACAGGTTTGACTGTAGATCATGCTTCTGTTCTTGGAATAAAAGTATTGGATTTGGACCAATATCTGTGAAAAATATTTTAACCTTGTAATTCACTTAAATGTTATATGCTAACAGCAGGAGAACCTTCTCTGGAAAACTTGAAAACCATCTTCGTTATTAGAAATAAGCTGAACATATATAGCATATAGCTGAATGAGCCAGCTGGAAAATGTTTGTGTATGGAGCTTGGTGATTTTTTTTTTTTTTAGTTGTAAATTATTAAATAAGCTGCTTTCATTTAAATGGCTTTTATCCATATGTCTCCTGTTTGTGATGAAGGGTTTTTTTGAGTTTCCATGAAGTGTAAGTGCAGTCCAGTATGATGTCCAGTGCTGAAAAATTTAACATTCCAAGTACTTTTCCTTAAGCCCTTAAAGTTTGTGTCACTGGTATTTCTTAAACCTGTTTCATGATTACTTGAGGTAATGTTTGTTTCTTTCTCAAAGATAGGCTCATGTATCTATAGGGTAAACTATATTTCTGAAAAACTGCGTATCTTCTATCTTGACTGCCTTCCAAGAGAGGGAAGCAAAGGAACCAAGTTTTTCTCTTCCATGGTGATTTTTTTTTTTTTTTTTTTAATTTCTGTGTTCAGAGTAGGGGGAGGATGTGAAAGAAATACTGTGATGCTTGCAGAATGAGTGTAATTCTACTCATTTCGGGAGGTGGTGGCTCTTTGTAACTGGTCTGTGTCCTGCATTAATATACATGTGATCCAGATCAGGTGTGGATTTGCAAGTATGTTTCAGTTGAATTAGCCAAAGCGCATAAGACTGAATTCAATGCCAACAGCAGGAGAACAGACAGTACCTCATTTAGTAGAAAGCCTTCTGGTATGAGGTTAACTCATTGAGTTTTATGAATACATTCAAACTGGCAGCATGAGTTTACAGGATTAACACATTTGTCTTGTGGATCATCACATTTTTTATCTAATACAATAAATTAAGTGCTGATGTTCTCAGTATCACTGGAGAAGGCAATAGGCCTATTCTTTAGGAGAGGGTTCTGGGATCCACGAGGCCACTGATTATGTGTGACAACTGAAGTTGTCTTCTTTCTGGATAGTCAGGCTTCCAGGGCCTTTGTAGTCAGGACCAGCAGAGCTTCTACGTCCCTTATCAGATTCTTATGGTTCACACTCAAACACTGTTGCCATGTTCTTAAAAAACCTATTTTTCAGTTTAAGGCAGAGAATTCCTTTTTTTTTTTTTTTTTTTTTTTTTAATTGTAGTTCTCCCTGCTGCTGAAGGCACTAACTAAAATTATATTCAGTTCTAAATTTTCCCTTCTCAAACATTTTTTTCGAACTACTGTTCTTTTGTTCCAGACCTTCGTATTTCTGCTCAATTGACTCCCACTGCATACTCATCTTTCCTGCAGTGTCATCTTCACAGTCCTTGGCAATACACGCTTTCCTCCAGACCTGACTGCACAATGGACTTAAATATATATATATATATATATATGTATGTGTGCATTATGTACCATTAATTTTCTTGCCTTTCCTCCAGTGTTTTCTTTCTCCATACTCAGATAGATGTCTCAGTTACTGGAGCTCTCAAAGCCTTTTTCTCACGAACATATATTGCACCTTTCAGGAATTCTTACCTTTTCTTTGTAAGTTATGCCAGCCTCTGTTGTAGTGGTCCAAAATATCCCTGAAAACATTTCCTGCCTGACCTTCAGTCACAATTATCTGTAGAATTTAAGTTCAAATTTTGTTTAAGAATTTGTTACAAGATAACTTAGAAGTGTTTAATTTTACTTTTGGTTTATTATAGAATATTCCATTTGCAAGTGACCTACAGGGATCAACTCCAATTGCCCAACTATTTAAATGGCATCCACAAGATAAAATGTATTAAGGGCATTATCCAAATGCTTCTTGAACACTGTTGGGTCTGAGGCAACAACCACCTTGCTAGGAAGCCTGTTCTGGTATTTGACCACTGTCACAGTAAATTTTTTTTTCCTCATGTCCAGTCTGAATCTCCCTGTGTGCAATTTTGTGCAGTTTCCATGTGTTTACTGGAGAGAAAAGAATTGCTGAGGACGAGAAAAAGAGGAGCCCGTTGCACAGAACAATGTCACTGTTGCTTCTCCTTTTCTCCAAACTGGGCAACCCAAGCATCCTCAGCCTCTCCTCATGGGGCATGCCTTCCACCCCATTTAACCAGCTTTGTTGCCCTCTGCTCCAGAGACATTTGAGGACCTTAACATACTTTTTATATTATGGGGCCCATATAGGCACACAGTATTTGAAGTGAACCCACAGCAGTGCTAAATGTAGTGGGAGAGTTACCTC